AATCTTTATTTCTTTGGAATTCCATTTGGTGACGTTAAAACACATCAATAACACATTTTGCCAGTAGATTATTTTCAACAATTCTTTAAATGGAAAATACAGCTAAATCTATGTGAATCCTGTCCCAGTTTACTTGTAATCAAATGGGCTGTTATTTACTCAGTAATGTAAACATATGTTAAATAACACAAGAAGCGGTTTCACTAGGTCCAAATACTCAACTCTAGTTTATATTAATTTACTTGGAAACACCTTGCTGTTGTTTAGCGGCTCACCTGAATATCCAGTAGGCAATTCAAATGAAGCTCCAGTGTCAACCTCCTCACAAGACACAGACAGAAGCTCTAAACCAATGACCTTCACCAAATCTCCAGTAGATAAACACACTTCACTCCCGGAAAGCTCATAAATGGAACCTGAAAACAATAACACATCATCATGCCCTATTTGCATAACTTCATGGGTTCGTTTTATAGGAATTTCCTGTAAAATGTTAAGATGGACTTTGATCGCAAAGTCAAACATGCCATAGCCTCCTGAGAACAATAAAAGAAAAGTTGTAAATTTCCTTTTTTTTTTTTTTTTACATCGTGTTGTTCCAAACCTCTATGCTGTTAATGTTTTCCACAAAGTTTTTAAGGAATCTTAAAACAGCTCTTTTCTATGCAAAGTCAGTAACCACAATCTTTACATTGTTTGGAGGATAAGAAAAAAATGTTATATTCAGTACCAGTAAATTTAGTTTCCAGCCAATTTATTTTTCTATAATTTGTCCTCTGAAAAACAGACATAAGAAAAATGTTGGAAAAAGATAGAGAACATTTGTATTTTGCATTTTGTATGCATACTAGTGCCTGCATTTAATAGGCGTTTAATAGAAATCAGATTTTCAGGACTTCGACAGCTCCAGGACACTTGCACCTGAACCAAACTTTACACAAAGATTTGTACGAAGATTCTCAACCATGGTATGAAAGATATTAGAGAATGATTTGATATACTATTTTACTTTACACAATATGAGGGTAAACATGGCCAAACATGGGTTTTGCTATTACACTCTAAAAAATGCTGGGTTAAATATAACCCAGCGCTGGGTTAAAAAGGGACAAACCCAACCGCTGGGTCAAAACAACCCCAACCGCTGGGTCAAAACAACCAACAGTGTATCTGGTTAAAGTCTCTAATTTGCATATTAATGTGTTCTTTAGGCAATGTGTAATGAAAAAAACAAGAGTAATACCCTAGCAACATTTTCATATAAAATCTCATATTTCATGGAAATATTGCTAATTTATTTCCCTAATCACTTATGTCTACCTAAAATGCCTGATAAGCATGTCCAGCCTCCTCTACAGTAGATATGAATGCTCCGAAACCCCACTAAAAGATGTCCTGAGATATTGTTTTAAGAAAAACAATTTGAAAATTAGACCGAATATGATATGATCTTCCTCTGTGATGAGGCATAGTTCTTATTATAGTTAGCAGCCTTTGTTTTATTTTACTTCAATATTGTACTTCAATCATCCTCTTTATTTCAAGCAGTGGTTCTCAATGGTCGCAGGTTTGTTGTGTTCAGCATGGGGAAAGTGTAGGCTATACAACACAGATGAGACTAAACTCGACTGCTCATTCGGTCTCACATTGTACTGAAGATGCACAGCGTAAACCACACTGACAATGAAAAAACAAAGATCTTAAACCTCATGTCCTGTTTGGGGTCGGAGAGACCCCACAGCCGTTTCAATAACACAAAGGCGTTACGCTGAAAAAAGTCATTTTAACTCTGTGGCACGCTTGGGAAATGTTACTTTACTTCGGTTTGGGGTTTCAGAGATCCCAGGCATAAAATATGACAATGTGCATTCAGGTTTCATATGCGCATTGTTTATTTTAGTTTTTCACTCAAATGTAAAAATGGGTCAAATCTAAACTAAACAGAAACAGCATCATATACTGGGCAAACCACATTTCTAAAAAAAAAGTGCATGCCTATTCAATGGCTCCATTAAAGAACTAATAAGAGTTCAACTTCAAAATTCCATTACTTTTACATCATTGTACATCTCTGGGACTAAAATCAAAGTTGTGTTCCTCATTTTACAAAAGATACACAAAACTGGGAGAATTATTAACAATCACAAGGTAAAATAAATGTATGGACATAGTGGAACACAAAAAACAAAAAAAATTTGGGGTGAGGAACAGTATTCTCTTGCTTCTTGTTTTGTGTTTTTATGCCTTGAGAAAGTCTCATACAGAATATGCAGAAAGAGTTAAAGAACTAATAAGAGTTCAACTTCAAAATTCCATTACTTTTACATCATTGTACATCTCTGGGACTAAAATCAAAGTTGTGTTCCTCATTTTACAAAAGATACACAAAACTAGGAGAATTATTAACAATCACAAGGCAAAATAAATGTATGGACATAGTGGAACACAAAAAACAAAAAAAAACTTTGGGTGAGGAACAGTATTCTCTTGCTTCTTGTTTTGTGTTTTTATGCCTTGAGAAAGTCTCATACAGAATATGCAGAAAGAGAGAGAGAGTAAACTCATATAAACCTACCCTGGAAATAAACCCCAGAGCAGATCTGCAGGATGCGGGGTAGAGACTGTTGATCCAGACAGTTGATGAAGACTCGCAGAGACTGGAGGTCTCCCATCTCTCACAGACGACAGACAGCCACACACTGAGCTGCTCTTCTGTGTGCGCACACTAAAACTATAAGTTAGTCCAGAGAGGAAGTCTCAGAGGAACTCACCCAGACCCACCAACGCTGCACACAAACCTTTTATTTGCATGTTTATTTATTTATTTAAACAGATACATTTCAATTCAGTGTCAATTATTATACATGTACTTTTTGTTTCAATATACAATAACTGCGTTAATAATTAATATTTATGCCGTTTCATTTGTGTTGTCATCCTTCCTATAAACAACCGTCTCCCGGAAGGCGAAGTTACAAGTCCTTATATGGCGACGGCTAAGCTCATTAATATTAATTGCGCAACACTGCTATTGGTTAGTCTTCCTAAAGGGGCGTTCCCTCGCGTCCGTCATTCACTACCGAGTGATTCGCTAATTCGCCAGTTGAGTGACGCCCACTTACTCACGTCTGCTTTTAAGCCAATCAATCGCGAGTTTTAAAGGAACGTCGCGTTACTTTTTTAATATTTATGAACCGGAAGACGTTCAGTTTGAGTAGATTACCCAAGATGCTCGGCGTGCTTGTAGCAGGGGGGAATGTGTGACAATGGCAACAGATACTACAGAAAATAACCCACCTTTCGACTGTCCATCATGGTAAAAAAACACTGGAGTACTTGCTGGATTTAGTGCGTGAATAAGGCTTTATTGTATCCAGCATAAAAACAACAATCAATCTTACAGCTAACTGTTAGCTGTCGTGCTCTTTAGCAGATCTACCGCCACACTTTGGAACTCGAGCTTGTTTTACAAACTGCATTATTTTGTGTATAAGTGTATATTGTGTTCATTTAATCGGAGTAGATGTTTACAGAGAACACCTCAGATGCTATGTGCTTTATTTCTGACCATGTTTTTAGTAAATGCACGTTGGTAGATGATTTCATGAGTTCATTCATGTCTTGGTTTTATCTCAGGGCAGGGAAGCCTCCAGCAGGACTGCATTTGGACGTGGTGAAAGGAGACAAACTTGTTGAGGTATTACATTGAGTTTTAAGAATATCTGCTAATAATTTTTCCCTCTGGTGTTGTTCCAAACCTCTATGCTGTTATTGTTTTCCAGAGTTTTTAAGGAATCTTAAAGCAGCTCTTTTCTATGCAAAGTCAGGAACCACAACTCCAAGATTAAAAAGCACAAAAAACAAATAAGAAAATTAATATGGGTTTATATATTTATTTAGTGGGTCAGTCATTCCTGTGATTGACCGCTTGTTCAAACTGTGACCGGGATGCACCAGATACTGACCTGTCTGCCTGCGGCTCAGTTGAGTTTTCTCACACTGATGCATGCATGATGGTGGCTGTCAGGTCCAAACGGTGCTACAGAAACACAAGACCCTGAGATTTAAGCTCTGAGAGGGGAGTCGCTCCCTCAGCTGTTATAACTCTAGGGCACATTAAAGGGGTCATATGATGCTATTTTAAATATCATTATTTTGTGTATTTGGTGTAACAGAATATGTTGACATGCTTTAATGTTCAAAAAACACATTATTTTTCAAATACTGTACATTATTGTAGGTCCTCTATGCCCCGCCTCTCTCAAACACGTCGTTTTTAACAAAGCCCTTTTAGGGGGGCGTGGCTGACTCTTAACTTTTATAAAGAATATCTCTTTGGATTTCAGACTTTAGTCTTTGCAACTTTACAGATCTTCTTTATGCACCAAGAGCTTGTAACACTCCAAAGAGAAAGGAAAACTTGAAATCGCATCATATGACCCCTTTAAGAAAGTATTTTTGCATGCATGGGCCGTATCACAAAAATACTGTTGCCATGCTATGAGTCATTTTATATTATGGTTACTTAGCTTGTGGTATATATAGAGTGCCATCCAAAGTGGCACCTGAGAACATTTAATGCCAGACACTACAGCTGAACAGGGTAAAATGTTTCGCTAATAGATATCACTAATTTTCCCAGTGGATTAATCACAGGAGGACATTTAAGACGATACATTTTGTATTAGTAGTTTTCGGAGACCTTTAAATACACAAAATGAGGCATTACTTAATTAAAAAAATAATTTGCATACATTTCCAGCACAGAAATTTGAACATTAGATCAAGCTAGGTTCAGAATTCTTTAATTTTATTGCATGCTTCATTCTGTTGCCATTGTAAAAGAGAAATCCAAATTTCACTTTGTATAACTTTACATGTGTATTTTGGATGTTTTCTTTCCACTAGTCTGGAAGATATTGTTATAAAACCCAAAAAGCCCCAAAATTCTCTATTGTACAGTAAAAAAAAAAAAAAAATCCTGTAATATCTTGCTATAATTTTGCTTCAGATTTTAGACTATTCAAATAATTTCTGCACTATTTATGTGTGACAAACTGAATGTAAATAAATGGGGGGGAAAATGCAAAATACAAGTGTTTTCATCAGTAGGCTCAGGCTCACGCCAAATAGAATTGGATCAAGTTATTTTTCCTTTCCTTGGATGCAACCCTAAAAGATAAGATTATTAAATCATCAACTTATTTCTACTATCCCATTTTCTGTACGCTCACAACGCCCCGCTTGTATGTGATTGTGTGTGTGTTGTTAAAGTAGTTTTGTTGACTGCAGACAGCCTACTGAGATGCTCTCTCTGCAGAAACTGATCATTGATGAAAAGAAGTATTATTTGTTCGGGAGGAACCTAGACATCTGTGACTTCACCATCGACCATCAGTCGTGCTCTCGCGTGCATGCGGCTCTCGTCTACCACAGGCATTTGAAAAGAGTGTTTCTCATCGACCTCAACAGCAGTAAGTGCATCAGACCAATGACAATCATGCACATCATACAGATAAGAGACGACAGGTAAACCAACAGGTATGTTGTCTTACTGTAGCACATGGTACGTTCCTGGGACACATTCGCCTGGAGCCCCACAAGCCCCAGCAGGTTCCCATCGACTCCACCATGTCGTTTGGCGCATCCACGCGTGTTTACACCATTCGGGAGAAACCTCAGAGTCAGCCGGGCTCCGGCGTCGGGGACAGTAAAACCGGGGACGACGAGGAGCTGAAGGGTCTTCTGGGACTTCCAGAGGAAGAGACTGAACTGGAGGTACGTGTCTGCTCTGCTAGTTTGCACTAGGGGTGTAACGGTACACGTATTCGTACCGAAGATGTGAAATAAACATGAATGAACATCTCATGCCTCATGTAGTCGCACAATCAGTGTTTCAGTCGCGGAAAGATGCGATTAAAACGGCTTGTGAACAAAATGTCACGTAGCATTTCAATTACCTCAGGCAAGTCATCAGTGTCTACAGCTCGTCCGTTCACCAGAGAAATGAAGTCTAGAGAAGAGCATTTCGCAAAATATTAGATTATATACTCATTCTATTTTACTTTACCTGTTAGTGATGTCTCAATTATTTCATGTAGCCTATATTTAAAAAATATATATATTTTATGAAACATGTTATGTCAGAGTCACTGTGTAAATGATTAGCCTATTTCAACAACAAATAGAAATTGTATAATTTAGAAGTAAATTTAAAAACTGTATTGAGTGCAATTTACGTGTTTGCGTACAATTTTTTATTTTTATTTATTTTTTTTTTAATTTGAGTGTTGATTATTATAGTTAAAAATAAATAATATAGTAATCAAATTTAAGTTTGGGCTCTGTTGTTAATTGTAACCTTATAGTAGCTAATGTAAAAGGGCTCCCTATAGTTAAGAGCAGAGGTAGATTTTTTTTTATAAGGTAGATTTAAAGAATTTTAATTCTAATTGAATTTATTTAAAGAAAGAGCAATTTGTTCAGTAAAACATAGTTTAATTAAAAAAAGAAATTTGTTTAGTATTTTTAACTCCTGCTGTACCGAAGCCATACTGAACCGTGACATCAAAACTGAGGTATGTACCGAACCGTCATGTTTGTGTACCATTACACCCCTAGTTTGCACCAACTTATTCTTTATTGCTATTCTGGAGTGATAAAGTCATCAAAACTGAATTAACTCAAGTATGGGAATACTATAGTAAAAGAGCAAATCAAAACTCTTAACTACTGATACGATACTACGTTTTCAGTAGTCGGGTACCAAACAAAATTTCACAGTTACTAGTGCCAAGCTGGGTACCATAGCAAAAACTGATGGAAAAATGTTACTATTTGAAAATAAAAATAATACAAAAAAAAAACAGTATGCAATTAAATGAGTTATGTTAATGCTAAAGTAAATAGATGTTTAAAATGGCTGGTAGCCTTCAAATAATTTTCAGATTTTTCTTTTATTTTTTTACATATGGCTTTTGCATTTACACTCCAAAAAATTATCTATTTTGATGTATTTGTTTGTCCAGTTCATTGCTATAGTTATCACGATGTCAATTATGGCAGCTCTATTATAGCAATAAATAAATTATATATATATATATATATATAATTTTTTTGTTTTTGTCAATATTGAAATTACAATTATTTTATATACTAGTGAAATTTAAATGTTCTCAATAGCAATTTTGGTAGCACAGCAAAAACAACTACTAGGCTAACTAATGTAAATAAAAAGCAATTAAAGAATTGTTGAAACCTT